CAGCTCTAATTTTATCATTTCAGTTCAGTCCAGCAGAAGAGCAGGGTGCATTTGTGTGTGTATGTGCACACTAGTGACGAAATCCATGCGACTCCTTATCTCTTCTTCTGCATGCTGAGGAGTTACAATTCAAGAAGAAAGCGCCATTGTGAATCCATAACACAACACACACCGGGCCTGTATCACAAAGGACTCATCTGCCTGCAGGCTGCAGGAACCGCACATGCTTCCTTTCCATCTGACGCACAGCCCAGATGCTTTTGGCCTTTTCTCGTGTGTCACCCACATCTTCCCTTGCAAAATATTCCAAAGATATAGTCCAACCAAAGCATAGTAGAAAATCATCCCCAGATAAAAGGAGGCAACTTGGGGGAGAAGCTCACACCCACAGTACTTTCAGTTTAGGTAGAATCTTTGTTTCTAGGTCATTGGACTAACATCACCACAGCATCCTTAAGGAAATTGGGAGGGATGGAGGCAGGTCAGCCAGCTACAGACTGCATCTGGAAGAATGAACCTTCCCAAATTTCTGCAAAAAATCTTCTTGTGCTCGGGCCAAGGCTTCTTCATCAATGTACACAGCCGGCCTCTTGGCCATGACGAAGTACTGCACCTTCCTCAGATTCCAGCCCAGCACGTACTGGAGCCAGCCGCAGACAGCCGCAGTGGAGCGGCCCACCCCGGCATTGCAGTGCACATACACGGTGTGTCCATTCTCCAGCAGCGCGTGCAGGAGACACACGGCCTGGGGCAGCATCTGCACTCGGCCTGGGATCAAGAAAGCACAGCACAGACAGGTGAATAATGAATCCCCACACCTCCACTAATAGCTCCTCCAGTGCACCGTGCAATCACAGTGCCCTACAGGGTGAGGTGGGGGTAGGAGAGTTTGCATCATTCCTATGTTTTGAAGGAAAAGGTGAGACAATTTTAAAACCCGATCATAATAAAATGGAAACAGCACTTCAGAAGCAATGGGTCCACTCTGAACCTTCTCTGGATATTGCTGCTCCTTTGAGTGACTTTACCATCGATGCAAATTTCCCTCCTCATGCTAACTCCTGCCCCCTATCGTCAGAAAAATGGATTTTTACATCTATCAAAAGAGTTTGCAGTGACTGAGAAGAGGTTTAGAGGATTTCAAAGAAAAATTGTCAGGTTCTGTCACCTGAATTTCAATTAGTCCAAAGGATCTTCCAGGTAAACGTAAAGCACAGATTTAGTCCATAGTAGTAAAAGGAATCAAACTTGCTCATTCAAAATATGCTAATTTTCGTTGGCCCAATGGAATGGTTATTAGTTGATACACATGGGATAACTGACCACTCATTTATTCCCTCACAGTACAGTGAATGCTTAAACTAATTTAATTTCTACATTATTGGGCAATTGTGATTATAGTTATTGCTGCTTCATGACTGAGATTCTGATGATTAGATTACTCTGATGCCTTCTCGTCACCCTGGGAGAGGAGGTGCCATGCCTGCTGAGGCCTGACGGACTCTGCTCCTCTCTCTCTCATCCCACAGGGCCCAGAAACCCCCACAGTCATCTCTTTGTGCTCCCAGATGCCTGGGGCTTCTGCTCACAGGTTCTCAGTACAGAGACATGTAGTGAGTTCGGTTTTTTGTTTGGTTGTTTTTGGG